CTAAATACCACCTCTTGACATGCTTACGTGTCACTAGAGTGGAAATGGTGCTATGTGGATATGGGGATCAGAGCCCTTCTCAAGGGTGGAAGGAGTTTCCAGTGGGGCAATGCATCATAGTCCAAGGTGTGGCCTATAGTCTAAATGAGCTTGAAAACCAGTTCTGACCAGTCTTTCCCACACCCCTGTGACTCAAGTCTGCTGCAGATGTAGCTGAACGCACAGAACCAGATGCTGGCTGGGGTGTCGCTCGGTGATGGAGCTTCTGCCCACCGTGCACAGCACCAAAAGAAAAGAGAGAAAGCACAGCAGGATGCCAGCAGAGGCCTTTGCAGTGGAGATGTGCCCTGGCTACAAGTGTGGGCGCTCCTTTTCTCCCCTAGGTCAGCAGGCTCCTGGGGGAGGAAGTGTAGCTGAACCTTGACCTGGGTTGAAGCTTTGGATAGACATCCGGTGGTCTCCAGCTCTGGTACTGGTCATTACAGTCAGAAAGAGGGAACACCTCTGGCCAATGCCTGAGTGGGCGCTGCTGAGATCTGCCTCTACCTTCCCTCCAAGTGCTTCCTAGAGACCCCTTGGCACCAGCCTCTCACCAAGGACATGCTCTGTCTTTAAATTCCTTAGTACTGCCAATCCCTCTGTTCTGCCACCCCTCAGGAACTTGCCCATTTCTACTTTGGTTTGGGACTGTCTGACATCCCTCCTTTCTAAGTTTTTCTATAGCACGTCCCCTCTCCCAAATCCTCTGGCACTCCTTAGCAGTGGGAGTTGGGGAGAGGGTGTGGAATTAGGGAGTTACCAAGATGAAAATGCTGGAGGCAAGGCCAGGTAGGCTTCCATACCTGCTTGCTGTGATGCCATGTAGCCATGGCTCATTCTCTGTGTGCCTTTGGCCTATGCAAGTGGTGCAGGAGTCTTAAGCCTCATCCTGGCCTTCTCCTGCTCTGCTCAACCCTAGCCTGAGGTTCCACAGGCCACAGGGATTGCAATGAAGCAGGTCTGCCCAAGCACCTCTCTGTCCCACCCGTGAAATGGGTGACTGGGTGCCTCCCTCCACAGGAGGTGAAAATCAAAGCACTGCTTATTGAGATTAATGGGGAAATACTGGTAGTCACTACTGCCCTCCCTCCTGGGACCTGTGAGTTCACCTTAGCTGACAGCAGCCTGCAGCAGTTGCACTGAAATCTGTTCCCAGGAGCTCCTGAGGGATCTTGAGGGATCTTGAGCTGAGATGAGACTCTGACTCTGGGGCGTTCAGGAATGGCTGGGAAGAAAGGGCCTGAAAGCTTCCTTGGCTGCTGTCTGTGGGAGGGAAGCTAGCTGGGGGACAGGGTTGGGAAAGGAACATAGCATCTGTCCTGTCTTCTGACCTAGGTCTCACTCATCAGAGCAGAAAGCTCAGGGCTACAGTGCTTTGTTCTCACAGTATTAGGCTGTCCTTAAAGAGGCTGAGATGGGGAACAAGCCCTGTGGCATGCTTGCTCTTGCTGGGGGCAGGTGAAGGCTCCCATCTCCTTGTATGGATACTGAACCTCTTTCCTCCCCTTGACCCTTAACTGGCACCTGGCAACCCTTTGTGGAGCCAAGGCTGCTCATCACCTCTGGATCTCTTAGCAACCTCCACTGCTGTCATCTTTGTATGGTGAGAGCCTTTGAGCCATAATGGACTATAGGGGGTCTCAACCCAGGTAGCCCTGCCTCACCCCCCTTTGGACCTTAGGGCATTGGCACCCATGAGTTAGCTCTCTAAACTGAAGCTTCTGTTCCTCCCCACCTCCCCACCCCAGGGGAATGAGTCAGGAAGACCCTGGCCTTGACCTTTCTCTTCCAGGCTGTCATCTGACTGGGAGTGATTGAGAGATTCCATCGCTGGCCTGGCCTAGCAGTCCATCATGCTTCTTCCCCATGCTAGCTTGGTGTGCGTCCACTACCCCACGCCTTCTGTGATGGTGTTCCACGTGTGCCCGCCAGGTGCCTGGCTTTGAGGGAAGCTGGGATGTGCCCATCCAGGCTATTTTTACCCAGCCTGTCCCCACAGAGCTGTGCTTTGGCTCCAAGTTACTGCCTGTGGGGTGGAGCTGTTGCCATGGCTGGGAATGGATGAGCCCGTGTCTCAGAGCCTCCTGGACTCCCTTCCCCAGACAGCATCTCATCTTAACACTTATTAAAGGGAGTAATTAATGTGCAGACAGACTTCCATGGGAGTGGGCAGGAGAGGACCTTGTAGACTTGGAGGGCAGACTCTGGAACTTGCAAAAGTCAGGCTCACCAAAGGTGAGTCCAGCCTTCCTCCGGTCCATCATATCCCTGGAAGTCAGAGGAAAGCTCCCCAGGGGCTGGGTAGGAGTCAGTAACTCAACACAGTGATGACAATAATAACCCACATTTATTGAGCACTTTCTGTATATGCTAAGACTGTAAGTGCTTAGAACACTTACCAACTCACTTAATTCTAATAATGGTTAACTCCAGTTTGTGGATGGGGAAACTGAGGCACTGAACAGATCAATAAACCTAAGGCTACAAAACTTGTAAGTGGTGGAGTGGCACTTCAGCCTGCTCCACAGTGAGTCTCTAATGCCATTCCACCCCTTCGGCATCCTTGAGATGTAAGATGCTGTCCTAGATTCTCTATGGCAACCTGTCACATAGGTGCTCTCATCACTCTTTCAGATGAGGCTCAGAAATGAAACAGCTCATCCCGTCATCACACAGCCATGCAGTGACCACAGAATTATTGGCTCCAGGCCTCAGGGTCCTGTGGTTTGGACTTCCTAGCTCACCATGCAGCAATGCAACTTGGTTCAACCAATGCTGGGCCATTGATCACATGCCATGTATTACGTACTGTGCCGATCACTGGGGTCAAACATAAGTCCCCGTGGCTACCTGTTCAATGTCACCACTCTTGCAGAGAACATAGAAGTACAGTCACTCAACTCAGTGTTCTCTGTGCACTAGCTGCTAGGAGAAAGCATCTTGCCTTGTATGACTGAGATGGCTACCCACCAGGGCAAGGTAGGTGAGGGTGAAGACCAAATGAAGCTGTTTCATTTGGGCCCCGCCATACACACCCCCCACCCCTGACAGCAGAGACAGTGGGCCATTGTGAGCCCTCCAAGTTTGGACAGCACCCCGACATGTATCAATTCTTGGCCTTTTCAGCAGCCATTGAAGTCAGCCCTTGCCAACTTCCTACCAAGGAAGGGGTGACTTTGAGGCCTGTTGGTGAGTGAGCACAGCTCTTGAGATTGGAGAGGAGCCCCTTGGGCAGACTGTGTGCCTCTAGGCTTCCACTTCTGGCCAGGGCCAGTTCTGTCTAGCCTCAGCTGGAACAGGGTGGAAATTGGGGGGGGGGGGGCGACACTGGCAGCATGAACCCTCATGCCAGAAAAGCCAGTTGAGTCCTGTTTCCTTGGGCCTCAGAACTTTCTCCAGAAACCCCTGGCCTTGACAACTCACCTGGCCTGGCTTGTCTGTCTGTCAGGACCTGGCTGGCTGACCAGCCTGGGACCCATGGGCTGTTAGAACAGCTCAGCTTCTGCCACTTACAGCCCCTCCAAAGGCCATGCCAGGACCTAAGGCTGCCACAGCTACTGACTCTGGTGCTTGTGAAAATTGTCACACATGTCCCTTGGAGCAGTGTTTGAGGTAGAAGCAATAGTCCCCACTCTGTAGGGGAGGACTCAGGCTCAGAGAAGTGGTCACTTGGAGAGGTGGTCACTTGCCCAGCAGCACACAGCTTATGAATGGCCGGGTTAGCCAGGACTGAGAGCCATTCTGCCAGGCTCCAGAGCTGTGCCCTTGGTCAGTCCCACCCACATGGGTTCCCCAGGACTTGTGGAGGGACACACTACACCTGCTCTTCCTCCCTGGGAGCCTGCAGCAGCAGAAGGTGGCACGCCTGGAATGTTCTGGACTCAAACAAGCCTGTGTGGCACTTGGGAGCTGGCCTTCTGCCCTGGGAGAACAGGAGTCCTCAGGGCCACCTCTGCCTCCCCAAGGACAGAGCCCTGGGGAGTTAGATTGGACTACAGACAATGGCCAGTATTGCCAGTTGAGGATACTGTCCCTTTCTAAAGTCCCCTCAAAGACCAGACAGTCTTTCTGTGCAAACCCTAAGGAGGCCTTGTTAAGCTACAGGCCTGGACCAATCCCCTATGCTAGGGTCACTAGATAGTGACTGGGCCATTTTGTATAGATGTCTTTTCACGTACTGGGGAACGGGCAGAAAGGGGGAGTTCTGAAGGCAGAGTCTCAGAAGTCACTGCCCTGGGCTGCTACCTCATTTACTCTGGCTCCTGGGACACTTATTTTCCACTGCCTGGTGTGGGAGCTGTGAGAGTTGCTGGGTGTGGACAGACAAGTGAGCAGCTTTCTGGGCTTCCCAACCAGCATGGCGACAAGGTAGGGCAATGTTTGCTCCATTACCCATAGCTCTTGTGGGAGAGATCCCAACATCCTGGGGATTCCCACTGCTGGAATCCGCCTTGGGTCTGTCCAGGAATGAGGCTGGCATCTTGCATCATCCTGAGTGAAATTAGTCTAACTACTGCAGGCAGATTCATCATCAGCTTTCCATGGTCCCCAGAGCCCTTTGTGCGCCCCAGAAAGCCTCTCAGGACCTCACAACATAGGTGCTCCATGTGGCCAGCCATTCAGTGTGGATGTCCCCTTCTCCAAGGCATGTGGCTTCCTATGCAGGTGTCCTGAAGGATGTGGCCAGCTGGCTATGGCCCTTCTCCATGGATGGCTGTCCCTGGGAGGTTCCAGCTCCTCACTGGACTCATGAGTCAGCCAGTGTGAGAGGCCCCAACACTAATCACCTGCCAGGCATTCTTGTACTTAGGGTCTCAAGGTTTGCATCTTCCTACACCAACCCCGCTGGCCCTGGCCCTGGCCCTGCTGATGCCCTTGGGGTCTGATGAGCCCTGAGTTCCACAGAGCCAACCCCACTCATTCTGTGCCATGTGTCTCCCCCCACCCCCTATCTTTTCCAGGGCAGTGACTTTTCTGGCTCTACCTTTGTTGATGGCGAGCTCATCCCCAGGGAACCTGGCTTCTTTCCTGAGGACGAAGAGGAGGATATGACACTGGCCCCACCTGAGGGCCCCCAAGAGTCAGACATGGACAGCCCCATGGAGGGCACCCAGAGCCTGGAGGGCTCTGTTGGGAGTCCTGCTGAGGAGAAGGAGCGGGGCCTTGGGGGCCTATTTCTGCCAGAGGATAAGTGAGTGAAAACTCCCTGCAGTATGTGGCCTCTGGGCCAGAAATGCAGTTCTTGCAAGGTCTCCAGAAAGTATGCATGGGGTACATTCAAAGTACTTTCATGTGGATCCTGCAGAGCAAAAAATTTTAAGCAGCATAAATACTTAACCGTAGGAATGGGTCTGGAATTTCAGGCAGGTGTGCAAAGTCAAGTTTTAATGACTAATGATGCAGGATCCATGATGTCAATTAGGTTTAAAAAGCAGTTATAAAAATGTCAACAAGTATGACCTTAGCTTTGTCAAAAGAAGAACACATACTACCTGCATATTAGGAAATGCTTAGAAAAAATATTATTTTTTTTATGGTACTTGGATTTGAGGAAAAATTATTCTTAAAAATCGAGCAGTTGCTAGGCACTGGTGGCTCATGCCTGTAATCCTAGCTATTCAGGAAGCAGAAATGAGGAGGATCATGATTCCAAGCCAGCCCAACCCTATCTCGAAAAAACCCAACACAAAAAAGGGCTGGTAGAGTGGCTTAAGATGTAGGCCCTGAGTTCAAGCCCCAGTACCACACACAAAAAAATTGATTAGTCATTTCTAGGAGGTGGATGATTGATCATTTTGATTACATCTGTATTCTAGTGTATAATCTGTTTTCTGTGTTGATCATGTGCATCATCAGAACTTTTTTGTTTGGTTTTCTTGTGGTACTAAGGATCAACCCAGGTCCTTGTGCATGCAGCCAAGTGTGCTGCCACTGAGCGACACCTCAGCCCAGAAATGTTGTTTTAAAACCCTGTTAAAGCCAGGCATTGTGGCTCACACCTGTTATCCCACCTACACAGAAGTCATACATAGGAGGATCGTAGTCCAGGCTGGCCTGGACAAAAATGAGAGACCCTATTGTAAAAAATAAGTAAAGCAAAAAGGGCTGTGGGCATGGCTCAAATAGTAGAAAGCCTGTCTAAAGCACAAGTCCCTAAGTTCAAACCCCAGCACTGCGGAGACGGGGAGGGGTACCAACAACAAAAACACCACTATTAAGACTTAAGTGGAGCTGGGTGTGTAGCTTAGTGGGAGAGTATTTGCATTCCATAGTGAAAAAAAAAAAAAAAAAAAGACAAGTGACTTCCCAGTGGAGCAGGGTCATCTTTTAGTTTGGTATCAGCAGAAGGGCGTCCCTTCTGCTTCAGTCCTTAAAAAACATCTCTGGAAGAGCCAGGTGCCAGTGGCTTACACCTATAATCCTAATTATTCAGGAGGCAGAGATTAGGAGGATCGTGGTTCAAAGCCAGCCTGGGCAAATAGTTTGTGAGACCCGATCTCAAAATAGGGCTGGTGGAATGGCTCAAGGTGTAGGCCCTGAGTTCAAACCCCAATACCACAAAAAAAAAAAAAAAATCTCTGGAAGGATCCGGTCCTTGTGAGGCAGTAGGATGCAGCCACCTCTATGGCTGGGGAAGCCATGCAGTTGGGAGTGGTGACCCTTATATGAGAAGAAGGTGTGTGTTAAGGCTGACCCAGACATTTGGCGAAGGAAGACAGGGGTTCCAGTAGTGGTCAAGCTGCATGAAAGTACCAACTTTTAATCATATTCAACCTTACAAAAAAAGTCAGTTTTCTGTGATTCTACCTCACACATTTTGTCAGTTCTCAAACTCAAGTGGTTCTGAGTTGGGATGTTCTTGGTGGCAGCCTTCAAAGTGTTTTATCTATTGAGAGGGTTCTATTGCTTCCTGGGAGTCTTGACCAGCTGGACCAAGGACAAAGAGCCATGGACAGCAGACCTGTTGATTTGTAGCCAGTCATCTGCCATTTGGTTGTCCCATGGTTTTCTGGGACTCGCCACCAAGAGGTAAGTCAGCAGTAGGTGCCCAGAGTTTTAGTAAAATGTACAAGAAGAACTGATTAGTTTGGTCAATTCAGCCTGAAGTGCTAAGGAACCTGAGGGTAGACAGATAAGTAAATAAATAAAATACGGGTGAGGTACCCTATCACTAACACTGTGCTCCTTATATAGAAATGTGAGTTCCTCCGGGATGTGGTTTGGGAGTTACTGCCTTTATATGTGATGGGTTTCTTTTCACTGGTTCAGGTTTCCCATTTGTGAGTGTGGAGGCTCAGTGAGTGGGGAAATCACGGTCTATGAGTGATGATACAGAGAAATGACTACATAGAGACTAGAGGGAAGGTATATTGGACAAGTGATGCATTGAAGCTGGGCTCAGCCAGGCACTGAGATGTCACAGGCCACATCATGGTCACCCGCCAGAGGCCCTAGATCCTGGGATCCCTGACCCATGTTCTATGGGATTAAGTATCTTTGGATTAGAAGTTCACCCAATAAACTGGGAGACATTCTCACCTAGTAGCTCATGTTATTTATCATTTCATTATAAATACATGAAATTAAATACATTGCTAATTAAACAAAACTTGGAAGAGGTAGGAAAAATGAGAATGGGGGAAGATAACCCATCTTCCAACCCAAGTTCTGTTGCCATTTTAATATTTGTGTTTAATATTTATGTTTCCCTGTGTTTCCTTCTATGTATACCTTTTACATACTCAATCTTCACAAAATTCTTGGGGTGAGGAAATGGTTAAAGCAGTGGAGTGCCTGCCTAGCAAGCATGAAGCCCTGAGTTCAAATACCAGTACCATCAAGAAAAAAAATCTCAAAGTTTATATGCATTTATTTATTTATTTATTTATTGTGTCACTGAGGATTGAACCCAGGGCCATGCACATGCTAGGTAAGTATTCTACCACTTGATCCACACCCCCCAGCCCTTTTGTCTGTATTTTGTTTTGTTTTATTGGTACTGGGGCTTGAATGCAGGGCCTCACACTTGCTAGGCAGGTGCTCTACCACTTGAGCCACTCCACCAGCCCTGTTTTATATCGATTATTTTTGAGATAAGGTCTACTGAACTATTTCCCCAGGCCGGCTTTGAACCTTGATCCTCATGGTCTCTGCTTCCTAAGTAGCTAGGATTACAGGCATGAGCCACCAGCGCCTGGCTGTATTTTGTTTTTGTTTTTTTGAGACAGGGTTCCAGTATCTTGGAACCAAGATATATGTTGCCTAGTCTCACCTCAAACTCAAGGTGCTCTTGCCTCCACCTCCTGAGTAGGTAGGATTACAGGTGTATACTAACTTTGTCTTGATACTCATTTTTCTGCCTTATTGCCAATATTTTACAAATCTTTCAACTATTTGATCTATATATATATATTTTTTGTGGTACTGGGGCTTGAACTCAGGGTCTACACCTTGAGCCACTCCACCAGCCCTTTTTTGTGAAGGGTTTTTCGAGATAGGGTCTCTCGAACTATTTGCTGAGGCTGGCTTTAACCCAAGATCCTCCTGATCTCTGCCTCCTAAGTGCTAGGATTATAGATGTGAGCCACCGGTGCCTGACTAGAATTTAATAATTTGATTCACTAATGTATATTCTAATTTAATAACTGTATGTTGTGATGCAGCTGCAGCTAAGCCATGAAGTAGCAACCAATGTTTGCCTGTCTCTTGTGCAGGAAGTTTCTGTGGCAAGATCTCCCCTTAGGTTGGGTTCCCCAAGGGTCAAAAGATACACAGTGGTCAGGTTCCCACTGTGGCCTTGGCTGGTTTTCCCCCACCAAGAGCTCAACTCTTCACTAACAGTGTGCTTGTGGCCACCAGGTCATTGGTCCACACTCCATCCATGACAACGTCAGACCTCTCCACCCACTCCACTGCCTCACTCATCAGCAATGAGGAGCAGTTTGAAGACTATGGGGAGGGGGACGATGTGGACTGTGCCCCCAGCAGCCCCTGCCCCGATGATGAGACCAGGACAAACGTCTACTCAGACCTGGGGTCTTCAGTGTCTTCCAGGTAGCCCCTTGGTCTGGGGTCTCTTTTGGGGTCCAGGAAAAATGGCAGAACCAAGCAAGCCTCCCAGGAGTCAGGCAGAGTCTTGAACTGACTGTCCTTCCTTCTGTCCCAAACTACATGGCTCTGCTACTGGGATGTTGGGTTGCTGCCTTTACACCCTGATTGGGAAAGAGCCAATTAACTGACCTGGGAGCTGCAGATGGGAGTGGGAAGTAGTGGGGAAGGAGGGGATGACTATGTCATCTTGCTTCCTAGAACCTCGTTGTTAAAGGGTCCTTCCAAGTGATCTTCTATGACCCCTTCTTACCCAGCTGAGTCATTACTTCCTAACGTTAGCTCTGTTTGCCCTGTTAAATAGGGCACATCTCACGACTTCCTCTCTTTGAGACCATTGGGAAGGGGATGCTATGCTGCTTTATTTCCACTCCCCCTGCATCAAAGATCACAGGTCTTGGGGAACCAAGTAAATCCGGCTCAGCAGCCTACCAGCAGCCGAGAAGCTGACTTCCTCCCCTCCCTCCCTGACTAGTGCGGGGCAGACCCCAAGAAAGATGCGGCACACTTTCAACAGTGAGCTGCTGGACGTGTACTGCTCTCAGTGTTGCAAAAAGATCAACCTGCTGAATGACTTGGAAGCCCGGCTGAAAAACCTGAAGGCCAACAGGTGAGACTGCAGCCCAGAAGAGGGGGCGGAGGCCAATTGGGGCCTGGAGGAGCAGCAGCTGGCAGGGTGGCCTCTGACCAGGCAGGGGAGAGCACTCTGAGCTGAACTCATCCTGCAGTGGTAAAGTCAGGCCACTCCTTCCCAAGACCAAGCTGAGAGTGCCCCTTTTTTCAGTGGAGGGAGACCTGTCCTGCGCCTTGGTGTCCTTCTGTGGGCAGAGTGAGGTCCTGAACCAGAGCCCCTCTGTTCAATGACTGTTTCCTCTCTTTCTAGCCCCAACCGGAAGATTTCAAGCACGGCCTTTGGACGGTAAGGTCCCTTTGGAAGATGACGGGTTGAGTGCTGTCCTATTTAACTCATTATGGTTCCAGAGCTGCAGCCCTGACCCAGCCAGTGCCCTGCATGTGACCAAATGAGCAGAGGGCCATGAGGCTGTCTCAGGACAGAGTGACTGAGCAGCCAAAGGTCTGCTTCTTAGCAAAAAGGTTAAACTCCACCCCCACCCTGCCTTCACCCACTCTGTGTCCTCTGTTGGCGGGGTCAGCATCTTCAAATTCTCACTGCCTTAGCCTTAGGCGGGCCACTGTAATGCTCTGAGAGCTACCACCCAGCTGTTGGTGCCCTTCCCTCCACTCAAGCTGGCAGCCACACCAGAGACCCCAGTGTTCTTATTGGCAAAGATCCAGTGAGAGTGTACCCCATTAGAGCAGGTCCCCTAGCTCCAGGGAAAGCCTGACTTCCCAGCCCACTGCGATCCCGCAGCACAGGTTCACCTGCAGACTGGTCCAGCTCCATACCCAGGGCATCAGTAGCTGCCAGCGAGGCTCAGGCTAGCCCAGAGCTTGTGGGTCAACCTCTTGGCAGAGACCGGGACTACTGCCTGTCACAGACTATGGAAGGGGCTGTCACTCTGGGGTCCTGGAACTTGCCAAGGTGACTTCTGCAAGTGTCCTCCTGTTTCCTGTTTCCAACTCTGGATATGGGTAGATCTGTCCCTTCACCCTTCCTAGAGTCCCTGGAGACATAGCAGGAACCAGGCTACTTCTATAGAGGTTTCCATCTGGGAGAGGAGAGTCTCATGGGACAGCTCTGGCCAATGGTAGCTGCTGGCTAGACACTGGTGTGGAGAGGCAGCAGGAAATACTGGTGATCATTTAGCCAGAGCTACCAGGGACTCAGAGAGGGATGGAAGCCAGGCGCTGCTGGCTCACACTTGTAATCCTAGCTACTCAGGAGACAGAGATCAGGAAGATTGCTATTCAAAGCCAGACCAGACATATAGTTTGCAAGACCCTATCTTGGAAAAAACCATCACAAAAAAAGGGCTGGTGGAGTGGCACAAGGTGTAGGCCTTGAGTTCAGACCCCAGTACCGCATAAATAAATAAATAAATAAATAAAATAAATAAATAAGTTTTAAAAAGAAAGGGATGGAGCATCCCTCCGCCATCATCTGTCAGGTGTGAAGGTCAGGTGATGCTCTCTTCCCTGGCTAAGTGAAGCTGGCCTCCTTGATGGCTTCCTGGCAGCCCCAGGGTATGGGATGCTCACCCAGCCTATGGTTGAGTCTGGTCCTCAGGCTGCAGCCGACTTCTGCAACCAGATGCCTCTCATCCTGCAGGCAGCTCATGCACAACAGTAACTTGAGCAGCAGTAACGGCAGCACGGAAGATCTGTTCCGGGACAGCATCGACTCTTGTGACAATGACATCACAGAGAAGGTAGGCCCTGGCTGTGAAGGAAGGGACTCCTTGTGTGCATGCTCCTGGGGAAGCGGGGGAGTGTTCCAGGATACTTTGCAGGGCCTCTTGGGAGACCTTGTGCCTGCCCAGGAGTTGGGGGACGAGGCACAGTCATGTGTGTCCCGCCCCCTGCCCCAAGCTTGACTGTTCTTTCCATGTACATTTGGAGGTGTTGGTCATAAACTTCAGTTTCTAGGTTCTCAGTCCTCTGGCCTCAAAGGTCTTTTCTACCCTGCCCCTGCCACCATACTATAGGTGAGCTTCCTGGAAAAAAAGGTGACAGAGCTGGAGAATGACAGCTTGACAAATGGGGACCTGAAAAGCAAGCTGAAGCAGGAGAATACGCAGCTGGTGCACAGGTCAGGCCAGCTTCTGACTCGGGAATGTGGGGCTGTCCCAGTTGCTGCTGCCCCTGAGAGAAGCTGGAGGAGGTGACTTCAGTCCTTCCAGCTGTGAGGGTCTGAGGAGCTTGACTTTGACTCTAGGCTTGGTAGGTTCCCCCCATCAGGTCTGCAGCCCCATGGTGGCCCTTAGACAGGAGCTGGGATCTACGTCTCTCTGTTTGCAGCGAGAGCCTGTGCTCCCTTCCTGGGGACGAGCTCTGCAGAGGGGAGGCTAGTGTGAGTGGAACATCAGGAGGGTCAAGGCGCTGTGGGGGTGCCCGCTGAGCATGACATCCCCAGTGCTGACTGCTGATGAGGCAGGAGGAGTTGGGTTCAGTTGCCCTCCTAGATGCAGGAAACTCAGTGGACTTGTCCCAGCCTGTGGTCTGTTCCCCTGCCCACTGTCCAGCATGTCACTCTGTCTTTGGTGCAGCCTCACTCTCCTCTGGACCTTCTCTAGGTCTGCCCCTCCCTGACATGTGTGACTGCCATACCTCTCCTTAGATTTCACGGTGTTCCAATTCTGTCAGCAAAGCTACTGGCCGGCAGTCCTGGCACTTGTCTACTTCCCTCTGTAGGGTGGTAGGGGCTGTGGCAGGGCCCGAGGTACCTGGGTCGGGATGAAACCTCACAGGCCATGAAAGTTTGCCCCTGCCTCAGGGTTCACGAGCTGGAGGAAATGGTGAAGGATCAGGAGACCACTGCAGAGCAGGCCTTGGAGGAGGAGGCTAGGCGACACCGGGAGGCCTACAGCAAGCTAGAGCGGGAGAAGAGCACTGAGCTGGAACTGCTCAACACCAGGTGCGTGTGCACAAGATCTGTCCTTATGCCTTTCTTCCTGGCAGCTCATGTGGATGGGGAAACTGGGCCTCCTGTTCCAACACTTCTGTTTTTGACACCTTAAAAACATGTGGATGTGTTCTTTAGGGAGTAAGCAAAAGAGTGTTCAGAGTAGCACTATTCATATTAGGTAAAGCAACAATACAGATGTCTATCAATAAGAAAACAGGTTTAAAAAACAAACCTGATCCTCCCAAGCCCTAAGTGGGTCTGGTATCCAGGCTTGGAGCGCCCCCTGCTGTCAGATCCTCCCCTAACCCTAAATCCTTGGGTACATTGAATTTGGGGCCAAGGGAAATAGAAAACCAGGACCCTGGTTTGCTATGGGCTCCTATGCCTTTACCGTACTTGTGGCTTCATTACCAGAACCTGATGCAACAGCACTGGCCCGGGAGTTTGCGCTGGTCATCCATTAGCTTGACAACCTTGGGCATGCTATCATCTCTCTGCTGTCCCTCCCTATCTGTCCCCACAGAACCTGTTGTATGTCACAGCAAGGCTCTGGTGGAGAAGATGCTAACCTGGTGCCTACAGGCTGTCTGGGCTCTCCTGAGCCCAGCCTGGGTGAGGAGAGGCTGCAGAGCAGCATCTGGGAGTTGAGCCATGTGAAGTACCTTGAGCCAGGCAGGCCTAAGGGAACTGGATAACCAGTCCTGATGCAGTTTGGTGAGGAGATGTTTAGGCTCCCCTGTGCCTGAGACCTGCTGTGTCACTTTCATCACCAGGCGTGTGTGTTCAGTTTGGACTTGTGCTTTGGAAGCTGTTTACACTTGTCTCTGGAGCTGTGTGTCCTTAAGGGTGACTGCACTCACTCAACCTGCTCTATCTGCTGCTGTCCCTAGATAGGTGGCTGGGACCACAGAGGTGGTGGAAGAAGACAATGGGAGTATATCCCAGAGGTCAAAGTGCCACTGGGGGCTGTCTCCTAACTGGTGCCCTTTGGACCAATCCAGGGGACGCTGGACATGGATAGTGTTCCCTGACTCATGGGGAATGCCTCATTCCTCACTTCCTGCCTTCCATGGGGGTCTGAATTCCTCTTTGGCCCTTGCCTGGGGACCAGTCCTTGGGAGCCAGGAGGGCAACATTGAGGCCAGGAAACCCCCTCTCCAGAATGGGACAATGTCAGTGTGGGGGCGTGTGCTGCAGGAATCAGTGCCAGAAAAGACCCTGCACAGTTTCAACAGCTCATCTCAACAGCCCTCTTCTCAGGCCACATGCAACCACCTGAGTACCTGACTCTTTCTCCTCATGGAGACACTTGAGGGCAGCCCTTTGTGAGTACGCCCACAGAAGATTGTTGTCTTGGTCCCAGTGCCTATGGCCCTTAGTTGCTGTGAGCACTTTTCCCTGGGAAAGGTGCTGAGGGTGGAAAATGGGGAGCGAATATGGTACTTGCCTTCAACCTGTGGATTCTACAAGAGGCCCAATCACAGCCTACCATGGGAAGGTTGCTTCCCTATCTAGCAGTCAAACATCCCTCTGTTGTTTCAGGCTTCAAAGGATGCATGCAAAAAGAATCTGATGTTCTTACTCACAGATGAATGTTTCCTTTTATCAAGAAATAAGAATGATAATTCAGTGTTTTTACTATTTTCCCTTCACTGACAGGAAACTCAAGGTTATATGGGTTGAGTGTACACTTCGGACCAGAAGTATTTCAGATTTCAGGGTTTTTTCAGATTTTGGAATAGATACATAATGAGATACCTTGGGGATAGCACTCACCTTTAAACATGAAATTCATTTGCACTTCATATATAGCTTATGCACATAGTCTGAAAGTAATTTTATGCGGTATTTTTTATTTGTGCATGAAATAAAATTTCATGGTATTGAATTTCCAGCTTGTGGTATCATGTTGGTGCTCTAGCATTTTGGAGTTTTGATTAGAAATGCTCAACCTATCATTTGAAATACTTGTTCTCTTTTTCTTTTCTTTTTTTTTCTTCTTGTGGCACTGGTGTTTGAACTCAGAGCCTCATGCTGCTTGCTAGACAGGTGCCCTAACCACGAGCCGCTCTGCCAGCCGTTTTTGTGATAGGTTTTTCAAGATAGGGTCTCATGAACTATTTGCCTGGGCTGACTTGGAACAACAATCCTGATCTCTGCCTCCTGAGTAGCTAGGATTACAGGCGTGAGCCACTGGTGTCCAGTGATACTTGTTCTTGTCTGACTTTCTCTCTGGAGGTTTCTGGTATCTTCTCTTCTTTTTAGGGAGCAGAGAATAGCTGCAGACCATTCCAGATTTCTAAGATTTATGTCCTCCTCCTTCCCCTAGGGTACAGCAATTAGAAGAAGAAAATACCGAGCTTAGAACCACAGTGACACGACTCAAATCACAGACTGAGAAACTGGATGAGGTGAGAAGCAGGTCCAAGCCAGGAACCAAGTCCACAGAGAGGCGATACTGGTCACTGGGGGCCTCTAGATTACAATTTCTGAAATCCTTAAAAATTCCCACTACCAAAAAAAAAAAAGGCAAAAAAATGTGACTAATGACTTACATTTCTGAATTTCTGATCATCCAAGTATTCTATGGTGTGTACAATATATATCATATATTCCTTTTATAATGGGAATTACACTCTTAAAAGAGAGAGGTTAGCTTCTGTTTGGGCTAACAGCTTCTGCTCAGGCTCTCCCTGATATCACAGAAGGACTTCAGAGGACCTGGCTATTTCTTTAAGTCAGGATTTGGAGGGCTCTGTCCATGGGGTCTGGTCTGCCTGTCCATGCCAAGGTGGCTAATCCGATCCCCAGGGCACAATGCCCCATCTCTGGGAGCTCTCCTCCCTGACCAGGTCTCCCTGGCAACAGGAGCGGCAGCGCATGTCCGACCGGCTGGAAGACACCAGCTTGCGGCTCAAGGACGAGATGGACCTGTACAAGCGCATGATGGACAAGCTGCGGCAGAACCGCCTTGAGTTCCAGAAGGAGCGGGAGGCGACTCAGGAGGTGGGTCCCAGTCCAGAGGGCTCCAGGGGTCTCCTCAACATCCACGCTCCCACCAATCAGCCTCTCTCCTCTGCAGCTTATTGAGGACTTGCGTAAGGAGCTGGAGCACCTGCAGATGTACAAGCTGGACTGTGAGCGGCCAGGCAGAGGCCGCAGCTCGTCATCCAGCCTGGGCGAGTTCAATGCCAGAGCCCGTGAGGTAGAACTCGAGCATGAGGTCAAGCGGCTGAAGCAGGTGGGCCCCAGAAGCCACTGTTGGATGGCTGTGATGGGGTGGCCAGGTCGGCTGTGTGGGCTTCATGTACTGGGGCCACAGTGAGGGAGCTGAGAGCAGCAGCCCCCTCCCACCCCACTCCCCACACTCTCCTGTCCTCTTCTCTTGACAGCCTGACCTTCAGGGCTGGCTATCCCAGCTCACCACTCTGGCCAAGCCACTTAGTACTAGCTACATCCACTGGATTGCAGATTCTTTCCTTCATGTCCATATAAAGAGATGCGTCTGTCCTATTCTGGTGCTGGGGATGAGACTATACCCAGCTGCAGATTTGTGCCTGGCAAATTGGGTTCTCCTGGAAGTAGGCCCTAAGCCTGAGATCCCACTTCACAGAGTTCCTGGGAGCACCCTGGTGTGGGAGAGGGGTCAAGAAGTGAACAAGTGATGTCCAGTGAAGTAGCAGTTCAGCCTGATCCTGCAGGCTGGAGGCTGCAGCACTTCACACCCAAGTTTATTGATCTAAGGCAGAGGTGTTGGTGGCCCTGCTCCTACAGTGGTCCTAAACTAGCCCTTCTCCCATCCAGGTGGTGTTCTCAGGTCCCAGGGATGAGCCTTAGGCACCTGTAGGCAAGAGCTAGAGTGGGGCTGGTAAACCAGGGGTCAGCTGTCTCAGGATCAAGGATCTGAAACAGCACTTTTGAACAGGGTTCTAGAGCCTGGCTGCAGGAAGAGCCGAGGGGACCAGCCCACCTCTGCACCCAGAGATTCCAGAACTGTAGGCTGGGCTGCCAGTGGGCAGTGCCCCTTCAGGGCCCCAACAAGGAAGGATGGCCAGCTAGGCTTCTGTCTGCTAACACAGCTCCTTCAAGTGGGACCAAAACTCCCACTCCAACCCTGTAAACTTGTGGGATGCCATAAGTTTCTTAGACCAGACCCAACTCTTCCACCCCAGCAAAGGCCACAGGATTCTGCAGGCCTCTTGAAGTGGTTATATGACACACACTGAGGGAGGGGGCTCATATGGAGAAGTAGGTTCTGGCAGGTTCTGGATGCTTCCAGAAATTGACGTTGCCTTTGTCCTATCTTTGTAGGAGAATCATAAGCTGCGGGATCAGAATGATGACTTGAATGGACAGATCCTCAGCCTGAGCCTCTACGAAGCAAAGAACCTCTTTGCTACACAACCAAAGCCCAGTCTCTAGCTGCGGAAATCGACACAGCTTCTCGTGATGAGGTAGCCACAGCCATTAACTCTCACTGTGGGACTTGGTTTCCGCTCTACAGGTCTTACTCCACTCCCCATCTGCCACCTGCCCAGCACAAAAGCCAGACCAGTTCCTGGTCCTGAGAGTGCCCACCCACCCACTACTACCCAAGCCATGATCAGAGTTGAGTGGGAGGTAGTGCTCAGGAAGATGAGCTCTGGTTCCTACTGCAAGGAGCACAGGCTTAGGACCAGTGGAATGTGAGTCTGTGCTCTGCCCGCTGTTTTCCCTAAGCAGAGGCCAGCATGACACAGGTTCCCCTGACTCTGGAGGTAGAGGGGACCCAGCTCTCCAGCACCAAAGCCACAAATGCCAGAATACCCACCTATATTTTTTTTGGGTGGTACTGGTTTTGAACTCAGGGCCTTGGACTTGCTAGGCAAGTGCTCTACCTCTTGAGCCACTCCTCTAGCCCTCCACTGCATTTTAATGTGAACCTAAGACTCTGTGTTGCTCTACCTTGCCCTCTTCCTAGGATTCGAAGAGCAACCAATCCTGCTTCCTCTGCCCTGGGCTGGCCTCACCAACCCCAGCCCCAGGGCAGAGGCAGCAGGTTAGCTACACCTAAGAGGCCCAGGCAGGGGTTGACTGGAGAAGGGCAGAGCTGGTGTGGCTGGGCCATTGTAGGCAGAGGAAAAGCTGGCAGCCTCAGAGTCTTCTGGGCCCTGGAACTATGAATGTCAGTTCTGATTGTAAATGCATTTGGCCAGGAATCTCAACCTTAATGAAAAATTCTCTGCACATGGGTCCCTCCACAGATCAGCTAGACTGCCTTAGACTCTTACCTTGGCCTCCAAGTGCTGAGGTTGGTCTGGGTCCATGTTGCTCAGAGTCTCCTGGGCCCCTGTGTCATCAGGCACTGGCCCACTGCAAACCCAGGAGTGTAGGCACCACTGCAGCTCTGACCCATCCTTCCCATTCTCTTCAGCTGATGGAAGCCCTGAAGGAGCAGGAAGAGATCAACTTCCGGCTGAGGCAGTATATGGACAAGATTATCCTGGCTATCCTGGACCACAACCCCTCCATCCTGGAGATCAAACACTGAGACGGGGGCTTGCTGCAGAGTGGCCTCAGAACCCTGGACCAAGGGGCAGGCCTGCCTGAGGATGCAGGCCCACACTGTAAATGTACCTCTGGCCACCATGCGTACTGTGTCCTGGTACACATATGTGTGGGAGGCCATGTGAGTGCATACAAGGGGTGGGCATGGGGCTGTGGCTGTGGGTGACAGCTGCCATGAACTGTGCATGCACTTTGTGGCCCCTTTGCAAGGGGCAGGGGGTACTGGAAGTAGAAGGGGCAAGGTCTGCTCTTGGGAGTTACTGTAATAATGAGAACTAGAAGCGTGCATTTCAGATACTGGAAAAAATGACTCTACCTCTGGGGATAAGGATTAGAAAACACTCCAGTGAATTGGTTTCTTCCCCACTCTTCCCCCTGGGAGTAGGTGCAAAGTTGTGAGCTTCTCCAGGAATTTGGGTGCCCTCACCAGCCTCTTTAGCTCCATTTCACTCCCACACGTTGAAGCCTGGAGAGGAGAAAGGGGTGAAGTTTGGCACCAGAGGAGGGCCCCACAGGCAGCCATCTGGGGTGCAGGCTCGTGGGGTCCAGAGGACTCAGGTTTATGGAGCAGCTGACACAGGCCACCCTCGTTTGGTCAGGCTCTCAGCATTCGTAGTTTTCCGTGCCCTCCCCTTCCTTGCTCACCTACCTCCCCTATCTGGTTTGGTTTTGTTTAGTTTTTAAGACAGTGAAATACAGCAGCATTCATTTGGCAGGTATAATGAAGGAATAAAAAGGAAGGTCAAGAGGAAGGTTGTGGAGGGTGTCTGAGGCAGACACTGACATTGCATCTTGACACGTGCACAGATGGCCTGTCGCACTTGCCACTTTCACACCACCCCACCAACTTCAGTTCCACGAAGGCCTTGGGATGGTTTTCAGAATCTAAGCTTGGGCTCTGCTGGGTTGTAGCCAGGCCCCTTCATCCTAGCATTTAGGAGTGCACCTGTAATCTGGTCCTCAGCCAGGGAGCAGACGCCGTACTGGGGGAAGGGCAACGGGGACCCGTGCAGGGAAACCTCAGTCTTCCATCCTTCCCACACATGGTAGATTCACACCATGGATTTTTAATGTGATCTTTTGTTCTGGGTGACTGGAAGTAGACATGGTACTTTCCTGAGTTTTTATACAGCTTGTGATTCATTTCCTTACCCCAAATCTATAAATGTTTATGGTCTTATTCCCTCCCTACAGTTTCTTTTTTTCAGCACATCTAGTGTAAAAAGGAAGGTTTGGGCATGTTGGGGAGAACAGGAAGGGGTGTGTGCAGAGAAGGGAGGGCAGTAGAGGGTGAAAGGGGCTATGGGGACTTGGGTATGCTGTCTGCCCCAGAGGCAGGGCTGTGGCCGGGTCCAGTCTTTATGCAGTTCTAGTCACCTTGTGCTTTGCCTGGATTTTGTGGTTTCTTTTTAACCTCATACCTAGGGTTTGTCTCATGCTGCAGATAGTGAGGTTGCACTGGTCTGCCCAGGATGAGCCACCCATGCCAGGAAGATGGGACTCTGGGGGCTCCCCCTTCAGCTTTCCCCAGGGTCTGAGAAGATTGAGGCAGAGAAAGAGGGCCCCTCGAGTGCGCTCTTGAGGATTTGCCAGTAAGAAGGAATTGGAAAAGACAAATCATGGCATGAAGTTGGTCCTGTTTATATGGGAAGGAGCTCTGCAGAGACCAGCCAGGTCAGGGTCCTGATATGTAGGGTGTTTACCCCAGGGACCAGTATTTTATATGTAAAATTGTATGTGCTCTTTAGGTATATTGGTACAGATTTCCTAAGAAGGCTATAAGGCTGTAGTTATACAGGCACAGTTTGGGAAGGAATCTCGGTCAGGAAATTGGGGGTGGGAAAAGCTGTCAGCCTGTGACCTTCTGCTGACTCCTCCCTGCAGGGAGCGCCACAGAGGGGACTCCCTGAGGAAACGCCCAAGTTTGGAGGCCCTTCTGGACCTGGGCCAATGCCAGAGAAGCCTCTGGAAATAGGACTTCTAAAAGACTGAGGCTGGTGGAGTGGCTCAAGTGATAGAGAACCCACCTAGGAAGTGTGAGGCCCTAAGTTCAAATTCCAGTGTCACCAAAAAAAAAAAGAGGGACTGAATTCCATGTAACACACACCTCAAGCTTAATCCACCCTTCTTACTTTCTTCAGCCAAAATAACATTTCTTATAAAACCTTGTCTATGAACTTGGCTTTTTAAGATCATGTATTTTTTTTAAATGCTCTTCTGGGCGTGAAAGGTAGCTAGCCTGATGGGGGCAGATACCCTAAGGGTCCCAGCTAGCACCACAGACACCCAGAACAGATACCAGAACTTTCTTAGGTGGGAAGAGAACCTGCTCTCCTGTATTTTCTGTCGCTCTCTCACTCATTTTCTAGTTGGGAATTCTGCCCTGACCTCTTCATGTGGGGCCACCAGATGGTAGACATGGTACCCAGATGGGTTTGAACTTCAGACAAATAGTTTTTAACTTTCAGAATCAATATGTTGGATATAATCCTTGAGAAATATTTAAAACGAGCCTTAATTGGTGTGTAAGGCTGTAGTTATACCACTTAATTGGTGTAGTGTGGCTCAGGCCCTAGAAGGTATAAGTCTACTCCAGGTGATTTCAGTTTAACTTGGTGTGCATGCATGTGTGTGGGGGGGCGTTATTCGTTTTTATTGTTTTTTGCCAGACTCAGCAACCTGACCAAGGAGAAGTCAACAGCAACTTGCCTGCTGTTTAGAGGTGGGTTTGGGGACAGTGGTGGGGCTTTCTGCAGAAGACTCACATTTTACATGACACTGAACTGTCCTTGATCAGTTGGAAGCTAAACAAAATCAGCAAATGTTTTCCTTCAGTTTTTTTGGGGGGGGGTAGGGGGGAGAAGGGATGATTTTTGTTTTTCTTTTGTGAATTAGCCAGAGTTAGACCTTGGTGATTTTATTTTAAACTAGTAGAGAATCACTGATGAATCACTTTGAGAATCACCAGAGGGAAATTCCTCTATTTCTGACATACTAAAAACCGAAGTTAAAGCACCTCCCAGGACTTGAAACTGGTTTGCCACTTGGGCTGCATATTAATATCACCTGGGGGGCAGGGGGTGTTAAAATTCAGATGATGGGGCTGATCCCTGGAGATTTGATTGGTGTGGGGATGGCCTGGGCACCTAGATGTTTAAAGACCTCTCCAGGTAATGCTAATGTACAGATCAAGGCTGAGACCCCCTCCCCCCATCCCTGTCCTAGAAGGCTGTTGGGCAGAGGTAGAGGAGGCTGGTGGAAACAGCTGCCCGGCTTGTTGAGCCAGGGCTGCTGAAGAACATCCCATACTGGTATGGGGCGTGGTGGCTCTTCCTATTAAGCTGTTGCATGGGCCTCACCTCCAGAATGTGAAGCCAGCAGCCCTCAGGACTGGTGGATCCAGCTGTTCTCACCAGCTTGAAGGTCAGCAACCTTCACGATCAGGATTGCCTGGTGCCCCTAGATCATGGGTTCTATTGGCCACAGGCCCATTCCAGAGTGGAGTTAGAGCAGTCAGGTGAGAAAAGTCCCTCTGAAAGCAGCTCAGACAAAGCAGCCACCTGCTTGCCTAGCTGAGCAGGAGGGGACCCTGGCTTTGTGGGTTTTGCCTGTTTTCTGACTGGGCAGGTGAGGGAGCCCCAACTCCTTCCCTGTCGGTAGCCAAACCAGCAGCTGGTTCATACCCTGGAGGTTCCAGTTGCTAGTCCACAGAACAGTATGGGTCCTGGCCCAGCCTGCTTCTCATGGTACAAGAGACACAAGTGAGGGCTCTTTGTTCCAGTGAGGGACTTAATAGTCTTTCAAAGCCTACAGCAAGGCCTGGTGAAGCAGAAATTCACTCCCATTTGTGCTCTGTGTGTATGTGATGCATTCACAAGTCTAAATCTAACTCTAGGTGTGATTGGAACTGGGGAAGGTTTGGGATCATCACCATGACACCAAGACCAGGTCACTGGGTTGGGTCAGAAGGTTCTTGATCTTGTCAGAGAAAGAATTGAAAGAAGGACACAGAGGAAACAGCAGGAGCAGATATATTAAGGCAAAGCAAAGTGAAAATATACTCTGGAGACAGGCAGGAGAGGAGGCAGGCTTGTGAATGAGCTGCTGTTCCAAGGGCCTCAAGATTTTGAGCTTTTATCGGGGCTTGTGGACATGGGGTGGTCATTCCTTGGTAAAGGGAGGATTGTCATGGAAACTGGGTTATATGTCATTGACTCCTCCTCCATGTTGGGTGGGACAGTTTTGGCCTTAGATGGCCACACCAGGACTTTCCTTTTTCCCAGGGCTGCAGGGGCTTCTGGCCAACAAGACACAGCTGTATGTGCCAGGTTGCTCCATTAATGTCAGCAGGCCAGGATGTGGGTTTTTTTAATCAACATTGAAGTCACTGTTCCTGCCCATCAGGCTTCATAACTCCCTGCCTAACCTCTATGCCAACTATGCCAAGGAAATGGTTTTGGTCTTCCAAGACTCTGTAGGAGGTCAAGGTAGATTCTACGTTGAGGAGAGAGGCCATTTAGGACTTCAGTGCTGGCCTCCTCCACAGTCTTGCCTCCCAGGCCCTCCCTTTGGGACCCAAGGTCCTTCTTTTGGAGTGACTTCAGGATGGTATGACTGAGTTGTGCCTCCCAAAAGAGCCCTTTAGATAGAGCACTGATCTTGGTGACCTCCTGGCCCTGACCTCTGCCTTGTGAGAGGACACACATGATTGGAGAGGCAGTGAAGATGGGCACTACAACCTCCTCGGTCTACCTGCCAAGACAGCTCTGTGGCTCTCTGCCATCTTCTATCTGCCCACTGAAGAAAATAGACATTTTCTGGAAGGTTTTATTTCTGAAAGCATGACCTGGTCAAGGGTAGTGCCACCATACTCACCAGAGCCTGGGTTTCAACATGACCTTAATGTCCCTCTTCCCCTTTGCATCGTGAATGTCTGTAATATAGGGATGGCTGCCCCAGAGGCACCAGCTAGGGATGGCATCC